CCCCCCACTGTGGTGCGGAGCAGGGCCCAATAGGGGAAATACAGGTAAAACCTTTAAAATCCTTCTTGTACCGTAGGGAGTAGGGATGAAGGGATTTTATCCTAATTTAGTCTGGAGCATCTCTTGGCAAAGGGGACTCAATTTTGTATAAATGGTGGGTGTGGCCCCCTTGGGGGCAGAGGGATGGGGTCCAACATAATACAGTAATGAGGTCAAAGGTCAACTTTAAGTGCTAGTCGGAGGTCAAATGTCAACATAAGTTGAAAGATTTAACAATCTTCTTCTCAAGTTCCATAAGGCCGAGGGTCATGATATTTGGCCAGTAGGTACCTGGAACAGAGTGCTATAAATTTTCCTCATTAAAATGACATAGGCCTATTTTCAAGGTCAAAGGGGTCAAATATGTAAAAAACTTCAAACAAAAGAATTTCTTAATAACCAATGACTACAAAGTTTGTTCAAACAAATTACCTTGACTTATATTCAAGGTCACAGGGGTCAAACATGTTTAAAACCTTGAAACAACTTCTTCTGAATAACCAAGATGCCTAGGTTATGATATTTGGCCAGTAGAATGCTGGGATAAAGCGCTACCAAGTTTGTTAAAATGAATGACCTTGATTTATATTCAAGGTCACATGGGTCAAATATGTTTAAAACCTTTAAACGACTTCTTCTTAATAAGCAAAAGGTCAAGGGTGATGATATTTGGGCATTTACATGCTGGGATGAAGGACTACCAAGTTTGTTCAAATGAATAAACTTGCCCTTATTCAAGGTCACATAGCTATTAAAAGATTGAAACATATGACGCCTGTAACCTTGAATGTTGAACAAGGACATTAGGCTTAACAGAATTTTAGTCTTCCAACCCAGCATGCTTCTGGCAACACATCATTACCCTGGACCTTTTGGTTATACAGAACAAGTCATTTAAAGATTTAAAGATATATTGACCACTGTGATATAGGTTCGTATGCATCAAACACTGTTATTATACATGTATGCATGAAGATTTCTCGCAATCACATTGGTCGGATCATATACACGTGACCAGTCCTCAAAAACTCATGTAGACTGGTTATCCGGTGAATATCAATTTCTAAATATAGCCTATTTATCACTGAAAAGTTATATTGACCTCGGCTTCGCCTCGGTTAATATCACTCTTTCAGATTCATATCACATCATATTCACCAGCACAAAAGTCCATAATTGTATAATATTCTACCTGTAGCTGTATTTTAGTCCACTTTTAAGATTACAAGTGTGAGACTAATACCAGTTGAGCGATTCAGGCCCATTGGGCCTCTTGTTTTTTATTACAGTAATGAGGTCAAATGTCAAATTTAAGTGCTAGTCATGTGGTCAAAGTACTCCAACAATGTTAGAGGTTTTACACGGCGAAAAACTTTTGACAGGCGCCGCGTAACCTCTAACTGCCCATAGCTGATTTTCCCGATGCTGACTATCACATTTTCAATGTTCGGATTAAGAAAGAGTATATCGTGTTTACATACATTTAAATGGTCAAAAGGTTCCAATAAATATTCCTTTCCATAAATCCATGATTATATGAGAAAAATTTCATGTCAAAGACATAAATAATGAGTTTTTCCTCATTAAAAGCGAAGCAGACAGCATTTGCCATGATTTTTCCGGTTAATACAAAAATGGATTACATGTAATGTTTCACAAGCGGAATACAAACAAACTTTGTATCATTTCGTTCCGTTTGAAATCCCCCTTGCTATTTTGTATTAATCCAGGGCCATGTTTTAAATGTAGGTCAGAGATGTGCTACAACGACTTGGACATGTATTTTGAGTGTTCTATTCCGTAATATACTATATATTTGTGTCTGTGACATACATATGAGATCTATATTATATAAACCGTGAGTAGACACCATTGTCATGAACTGTTAACCACTTAAGTGAGTTTTTCAAGCCGATTTTGTTCCGCCCGGATTTCGGGCGGAAACTGCATCAAAGAATTAGTGCTTCGGAAATGAGAGGTCGCAGTCGGCAAAATCATATCCGATTGAAAAAAGGCCGACCAGCGGCCTCTCATGTTATGGGAGTAGGGGGTCAAAGGTCAACATGAGTTAAAAGTTTTAACAATCTTCTCAAATTTCAAAGGCCCAGGGTCATGCTATTTGCCTAGTACCATGGATGGAGTGCTATAAAATTCCCTCATTAAAATGACCTTGACCTACCTTCAAAGTCACAGGGGTCAAATTTGTTAAAAACTTCTTAGAACCATTTGGACTAGAGTTATGATAGTTGATACTTGGGTATATTATGCAGACCAGCTGTGTGAATCGTTTTCTTCATTACTGTAATGAAGTCAAAGATCAACTTTAAGTGCTAGCTGGAGTCAATTGTCAACGTGGGTTTAAAGCTTTAAAATTAAAAAAAAATCAAAGTTCAAATAACAATATCTTAAGAACTGTTTAAGAGATGTTAAAATATCTAATGTTTTAGTTACCAAATTTGGTCTGAAGTTACCTATATGTCAATTTCATGTAACAAAAGTAACAGGTGAGCAATACAGGCCCTCAGGGCCTCTTGTTATGCAGTTTTATCAATCAAATAGTGAAAATCATCAGAATCTATGGCTTTCAAATACGGTTTTTACGTTGAAAACATATTTAACCCTTTAATCTTAATGAAGAAGGGATTATATCATTGATGGAATTTGTAATCAATAATCAGAATTGGAAAGGGCATACAGATCAATTTTCGATTATGATCGATCATCAGCCCATCACTAGTACTAGTTAGGAAAATGAAAAGCATCATCTTCTCAAAAAGATCTTTTTTATGGTGGGCGCCAAGATTCTTCAAGGATGTCTTGCATGACTTAAATTTAAACCACCGTTTTTACAACAGATTGCAGCACAGTTACTCTAAGCAAATAGGTTTTATTTGCTTAGTTGAAGTAATTTGTGGTAGAGTTTGATTGATTTTGACTGGGATTTCACTTATTTATAGGATCTTGCATGAGTTTCCATTTCATATAAGGTTTATGAAACAAGTCTAAGAATTTTGCCTTTGGCGAGCTAAAATGAAAAGTTCGTGGCAAGTTTCATATGAAATAAAAACTAGTGTAAAATCCTTTTTATCACATAATTAAGATTTGTGGCATTTATTCGTGTAAAACGACAATTTGCATGCAACCTTGAAATGTAAAAAGCCGCCATTTTGACTCCAGTGTGTTAGTCTGTGACGTCATGTACCTGTCCAAGGTATGACGTCACAATTGGAACAATTGAAACTTACAACCAATCACAGGGCTGATAGCCATAGGTCATATAACATGGGTTAATACCCAAAAAATATGACATGGGTATATTCACTGGATAACACAGTACATTATGTGATAAATAGACATAGTGTTACTAGTGCAGACTCATAAAGGCATTCGTTATCAAAGATTTGTTTTCTATCATTGCTATATCGATATTTCAGTAAATTGATATTAGGGCCTTGTGTAGATGTTTGTGTACAAACATCTGATGCTTTAATTACTTTATTTTCTGTATCTATTAAGGTGTATTTATTAAGATGTCATGTTTAGTGTCTGAGTCGACATCATACAAACACCTATAACTTAAGTTGGGTGGTCGGGTGGCGCAGTGGATAGCACACTTGCCTTTCACCAAGGCGACTGGGGTTTGATTCCCCGATCGGACGTAAAAAGGTATGGGGGTCACCTGCCCGACTACATGGGGTTTCTCCTAGTACTTTGGTTTCCTCCGACATTAAGACCCTGCGCGTGCTATCATCCTAGCTGACAAGAGTGATTAATATAAGTTGAGATAGCTTGTTTCATAATTGTTGTTAAAATAAATACATTTTAGTCCAACAAACACCTACAGTTTGTGTTTCAAGGTGTCGAGATATCTATAAAGAAATATATACATTTAATGTTTGTTATCGCACTAGCACTTCCATTTCTGAAATGATCTTGATCAAACTTTATGTATTTGTCAAGTAGGAGATTACAGCAGACGCGGTCATAATTCAGGTTAAGGTCAAGGTCACTGTACATGTTCACGTTTATGAATTTGTTTGTCATAATGTCAACGCTCTAATGACATCATTCCTGCAAGGATTTTGGTAAACTTTGTAAGTTGGTTAAATATGACAGTATTCCAAACAGGTGTTTGATTCAGGGTTCCAAGGTCAGGGTGACCATTACTATTTTTGAGAACAATTGTCGTCATTAGTACTCTAGTGACTTCACTACTGAAAGGTATTTGGCTCAAACTTGATATATTGGTTAAGAATGAAAAATATATCAAATGAGTTAGTGCTTTTGATGCCAATGCCAAAGTCAGCATAAACTGTTAATGGATTATTTCTATTTTTCTTAAACAAATCACAAGCTATGTCATCTTTACACTTCCAACTCAAACTCAACATTCAAATACAGGTGTTACTTACTCGTCTGTTAGTGAATTGATCATTTTTTTGTGTCAAATATCATGTTAACTATCAGAGAATATTATAAAATATTAGTGTTTGACTGTAACACAGTCATACCATCTTTAACCACACATGGGTTTGTATGGGTCGCAATGCTTTGTTATATCTGCAGTTATTATTCTAGTTTGTATCTATGTATGGCCTGGTGAAACAGAAGAAATTGAGGTGTGGGTAGAATATTGACCCAATCTTTCCTTTCCATGAATGTGTCATTGCATATATATATATATTGCTCTGCTGTGTGGTGCTTTTGTTTGACCCGGTATTAATTATGAATATTATTAGATAAATATTACGTTAAAAATAATGTCTAATAATAGTTTTAATATAATCTACCACATCATAACATTACAAAAAAATAATGTTATGTTCCGTTATATTTTTCAGCCATTCCTACCTTAATTGTGAGTCAAACTGTTTCCGCTCTGACTTTGTCAAGCTCAAATACACAAAGCTTGACCATTACAGCTACATGTGCATATCCAGCTGTCTCACTCGACGTGTACTTTGTGGTAAGTTCAGTGCTAAAACACAGGTATGTTGTTTTACTACTAAATGCTTAACTAGTCATGTTAATGAATGAATATATTGTCATCAAATCTTGTTTCTTTGCTTTGATCAGTGGTCTTGGTTTATGTACAGTACACACCAGGAGTTATGATCAGGATCATCCTCAAAAGTCCAGGGTGTCACTCCTCTGTTATCATTAAAGGAAATGTATCAGATTTGCAATTGCTCATCTTTTAACTTACCTGCGCATGCCCAAGGGCTAGTTATGCTGTGATATGATGTCTGTCATTTGTCCTTCCGCCATCGTCAACTTTTACTTTAGATTATTTCTTCTACATAACAGAAAGGCCTTGAGTCACGAGATTTAGCTTCCTGGGATAAGCCGAACAAAGTTTGTGAATAAAAATGACCTTGACCTGTATTCAAAGATGTAGGGGTCAAATGTTCAACAAATTTGTGAATAAGAATGAACTTGAATTGTTTCATAATCACAGGGATCAAATAGGTGAAAATCTTCAAATAGCGCCTTCTGGATAATGAAAATGTTAAGACTCAAAATATAAGGCTGGTAGCTTCCTGAGCAAAACCATTTTGATTGCGCGAGTGTCCTGCTATAAAGGCAATGTAACCTTTAACCCTATAATATTCTCCATCTGATTGGATGAAGTACACTGGCAGGTTTTCATTCTTGAAATTGGGTCTGTTGAGAGATGTTCACAACAGCACTCTCGTGTAAAATTATCATTAAATATTAGCGCAACTCCGCACTCAATTTGTTTATGTTAGCATACATATTGTTTCTAATTCCTCATCAATATTAAACGCCTTTCATAACATCCCTGAACTTCTCAACGCCAAAGTACCAAAAACAACAATACCGGTCTGTTTTACGGCAACGTGCTGTCGGATTTATTTAGGTCATTTTTTTAACTGGATTCTCTTTCCAGTTTCCATCGTAAAATAAAGGAATGATACATGTAACCCATATGTTGGACCAACACAGGAACCGCTATCATTTCAACAACAATATATTCCGTAACACGTTAGCTTAAATCATGGTAATTACCGAAAACATAGTCGTGTAAGTTGAGAACTTCAACAATTCTCCGTCGATCGTTTGTTCTGAGTGAAATGACAATTCTTTTCAAACACTCTTAGTTGTTTGTTTACCATCATAATCATCACTCGACTATTGATTAGTTATTCACCTGATCTGTTGAATGATGTTGTTTTAAACTTATATAACCTGCACCGCAGTGCGCTTGGGGTGGTGGTCTGTTTACAGTTGTCTGAATAAGGAACTGTTTGGTTATAGTCGGTTGTGTGTACACAATAGTACACTTGCGCAACCAAAATGGTTTTGCTCAGCTGCGATAAATATCGGTCCGTATTTTCACTGCTAAATCATCAATATCGGCGTTTAGAAAAGTAACTTTTTATTTGTTTCTGCACATCAATAAATTTATTATAAGTTTGGAATTGTTTTTTCAAATTTGTTCACTGAACTTGGTAAAAAGACCGTGAATTAGCCCTTTGTCAAATGTGATGATGGTCGTTTAACGTAATTTTTGGGTCAGTTGGGATGAATGAAAAGTGGTCGCATAAAACAGGTGGTCGTTTAATACAGATGGTCGCTTGAGCAGATTTGACTGTATCAAGTTTGTTCAAATGAATGACTTTTTCCTTAGTTCAATATCACAAGGATCAAATGTGCCGAAAATTTTTAAAACAACTTCTTCTGAATAACCTAAGTACCTAGGGTGATGATTTGATTTGGCCAGTAATTTGCTTGGGTGAAGGGCTATGATGTGTATTGCAATGAAATACCTTCACCCATAATCAAGGTCACAGGGGCTGATTGTGTTGAAACTTTAAATGACTTCTTCTTATGAGTCCTGGAGCGATTATATTTGGACATTAGTATGCTGGGATGAAAGACAGTTGAGTTTATGAAATTAATAACCTTCATAAGTTTTTTAATGTCGTAAATCTTGTAATAGGTTTTTCTGTGTCATTTATAACGAAATTGAGCCTGTAGCTTTATATAGTCTGTTTAAAAGAGTTTGAACTTTGTTTCCCCTTTAAGGCTACAAGTGTTAGATTAATAGCAGGTGAGCGATGCAGGTACATGGGGCCTTTTGTTTAGGTCACATGAGCAATTGCCATCTATATTTGTGTATCATTTTCGACTTCATTGGAACCACTGAACTGACTGATGTAAATTTGGTAAAAAAAACCACTTAGATATATATCCTGACCAAGTGTTCTTTTTCTTGTACCAATCAGAAAATCAGAGTTTGCCTCCATAGCCTCTGATCGGCTTATCAGGTACCTCAGATGCAGTGCTATAACTTTGTCTTCATAATCATGTACCTACTTTCAAGGTCACAGAGGTCAAATATGCCATTGCATCTCTGTCATTGCAAAAGTTTGTCCACAAGCTTATCTCCAATATATTTTCTCCTGGAGTAACCAAATTGGCATGCAGGTACATGTTTGTCCTGACAGAATTTACTGTACCAAAGCAAGTCGGCATTATCTTTATTTTCACATCTAACCACAATCAACCCAAAAGCAAATTACTCTTGACATTTCTTTCGACATCTAACAGCGATCATTGGAAGAATTTGCCCTATTTTGTATCAAGATATACAGTCGGTTGATCCTGATATAGGTGTTCAGCTCCGCCGATAAAGAGATGATTTCTGGTGGGGGACTATATATATTTATTGCCTTGCAAGACGATGAATTCTTTAAGTGTATTTTGTTTAGGCCAAATGTAAACTTTGAGAAGTGGCTGGGAAGAGAGGTTAACTTAAGCTTAAATGGGTAAAAAGCTGTAAGAATATTCTCCTTTCAGTTCTTTAGGCCCAGGGTCGTGATTTTTTCCAGTAAATGTCATTTGTTTGAGTGCTATAATGTGTCTTCATATACACAGCCTTGACCAACTTCTTTATACACTGTATATAATTATAATGTTGAAAGCTTCAAATAAGATAATTAGCTCACCTGGCCTAATGTGCCTGCTGTAATTAAAATGACCATCATATTTCATGAAATCTACAGTTATATAGATGTACAATAAAACTGTAACTATATTAATGTCTGCATCCAGCACATGTCACTGCCTCATCAGCATTTATATGTTATATTCCAGCCAACTGGAGGAGGAACTGCAGTGAGTTCCCCATCATCAACAGCAACATGTACGAGCACTGGTAATGCAGGATGTGCTGACACGGATGCTGAAAGCTACGACTGTGTCATTGTACCAAAACTTGAGACAACTCTTTCAGCGGGTACATACTACGTACAGTTTGTAGTCAATCTCGCTGGGCAGTATGAACCTATAGGACTGAACGCCACCATCACTGACACTGTGATAACAATTGAAGGTAATTATAAGTTATGTTAATTGTCTGTTGTTCCTTTCTTTAGTTTAGTTCAGATAGTGCCAAAACCAATACATATTTACAAAAAAGTGACCGTCCTCACAATTAAACAAGAAAATATCTGATTCCTCAAATATATAAAGTAAGTGTTTAAAGGATCATTTCGGGGTAAATTTAATTTCTGAAAACATTCCATATTCTTATATTTACATATTTGTTAGAGTTAAAATATATGACGTCAAGTGAAGCTTCTTTCCATGATACATTACACACATTGTCATTTATCTCCTTTCATGACACACATTTCTTTTTTTGGCAAAACAGGATACTGTTTTAGTTTGTCTGGCCTTTTGTCACATATTGTTTCTGTGTAACAAATTTCTTATGAATAGATAAATGAAATTCAGTCAACAATATATGACAATACTCAAGCATGAATGTCTCCAAGGTATTTTGTTTATCCTCATAGGTAAACACATTCTGGACAGTTATTCTTGTAAATATTTACAGATTTTAGTAAAACTATGTCATTGCATAATGAAAATGCTAGCTCAGAACAAGTTAAGACATATTGCGGAATATATGCATATTAATGTATTTGTGGTAGCATGGTGTGCACTTTTGTGATGTCATCGCAACATGCTGGAGCCAAGGTTAGAGGCATTTGAAATCTCTGCAACTGGCGAAACCAGGATAACTACTGTTAACATAGCAGTTTTGTATAAAGGGTCTGCAGAGTTTTAAGAAGACTCCTTGCTGAGAAATGAGTTCATATATTGTAAAAGCAAGGCATAGTCTTTCTAAAAAAGTCAAGGGTCATTTTCCATAGAATACTCTTAAAGAATAATTTCCCTTTCAAAATATTTCAATTACTTAAACGTGAGTTTTGATTGTACAAGGAAAGTCAACATTGTACTTACGCAAACACAGAAAATAATGTCAGCAAAGTAGTCTGATACTTATACATTGTATGTATTTTATAAAGCTTGTTGATTAACCCATACAGTACTAGTCTAATAAATATGTAATATATATAAAATGCTGAATGAAGTGTTGACACTTTCTTATGATGATAACAGATCGTCTGAAGTAACATACAGGTGATATTTAAGGTATGACTCCAACCCTGAATTCTTTCGACTTTGCAGACCTGTATAATGGTTTTAAGATCACAAATTCAGTTTTACTGGTAAGGCAGAGCAGATATAGAACAAACGGGTATTTAGGACTGTAAAACCACAATGTACATGTACAACCACAATAACAAAGTACAGAGACTTGTTCTCACTTATTCATAGAACACATATCCAACAAACATCTGAATAAAAGCTGTGACTTTAATTCTAGTTAGTTCAACATGTAGGTCACTGAACTCCTAAACCAACCCCACTGCATACATGCCAGATTTCACAGCGTGAGGCAAAATCTCATGGATTTTTACCTCCAATAAAGTCTCATGGCTTAAGACATGAATTTACAGAAAGTCCTAAAAACCTCACATTTTTTAATGATGGATCGGTGAACCATTTTCCTGTTGTTGTTTACTCAAAATTTTACTAGATGACACAATGTTTTCAGCGATAAATCACGAGAGCTCTCGAGTAGCGGTCATGTGATTGGTCATGTGATAAATTCTTATGCAAGAGCTCTTTCGATAACTTCCAGAAAATTTAGCTGGTTGAAATGGCAGGGTTGAAATTGTGAGTTTATTTCGGTGTCTTTTACAATAAGTTTATGAACAATTTGTTTCCGTGATACTACAGATTGTCTGACACTCTATAGCCACTGCGTGACAAAGTCCGCTTCAGTATCACAATTTAAATTGTTAAATGCATGTTTCAAGATTTTAGTACATTGTCCAGAAGTTTGAATGTCAATGAACAGAGACAACTATTATACTTACAAACTCATCAAAATCCACAGTTCAAAGTCAATGTCTCCTACATAGAACATCAGTAGAACTGGCTACTGTAAATGTTGGCATGTCCAACTTTTCGAAATTTAAAGTAAAATCTGCTTCTTCAGTATATCTCAACTATGTGATATTTTGTTTTGTAAACTTTGTGCTATTTAATATAATAATCATATTCAATATATATAAAAAAAAACTGCCAAAGTAAAAACAAAGTTACTTACTTAAAGATTTTGTGCTTTATTTCATTAATTTTGTTAAATAAGATTGGGTTATTGCCACAAATAAAACTTCCCTTATTTTAACCTCAATTCCCTTAAAATGATTGTAAAACTCACAGATTGGTTTCCAAGACTTCTGTTATGTATGTCACTGTGTGATAACTGAAGACATCCACACAAAAATTTCCATCAAGACATTTTTTCTCACAACCAAATAGTCAATGGTGATTTATTTCTTTTAATTGTGTCTTCATGGTTATTTCAAACACAAACAATATATTGATTTGTATTACTCATGTTTATAATAAATGGCCATTTATGTCAGGTTAGATAATACTTTCATCATGCATGTAATTGTTCAACAATGAAAAAACATGTCCAAATGGGGGACGAATGTTGGGAAAAATAACCATACTCATACACTTTTGAAATATTTACTACCAACTGGGTGTTGTTACAGTGTTAAGGTTTATATTTGTCAGTGCGATAGTTAATTAGTTGTGCAAGGAACAGAAAATTCCCAGTTAGCATAGGGCATGTTATAAGAAACCACAAGTTTGCATGTGTCAGGGATGATAATACATGTTATCTTTGTATTATTGATGAATTATTTCTCTATTGATAATCATATGAGTCAGTGTTAAAGCTATGTTCACTGGAATTGTTGCAATGACAAGAAACCGTCATAACATTTGCTGTGTCTACTGTGTAGTGTGTGCTAACATTGTTGTTAGCTCACCTGGTCCAAAGGACCAAGGTGAGCTTATGCCATATACCGTTGCGTCCGTCGTCGGTCCGTCCGACCGTACATCAACAATTTTTTTAAAGGACTTCTTCTTCTTCATCACTGATTGGAATTCAACTAAATTTGACTGGAAGCATCCCTAGGTGGTGGGGATTCCAAATTGTACAAATGGTGGGGCTGACCCCCCAGGGGGCTGAGGGGCTGGGCCAAAAGGGGGCAATTTGGCTATATTGCTTTAAGCGATTTCTCCTCTGGAAATAAGAAGTGGATATCAACCATATTTGACTGGAAGCATCCCTAGGTGGTGGGGATTTAAAATTGTACCAATGATGGTGCTGACCCCCCCGGCGGCTGAGGGGTGGTGCAAAAAGGGGACAATTTGGCTATACTGCTTTAAGCGATTTCTCCTCTGGAAATAAGAATTGGATATCAACCATATTTTACTGGAAGCATCCCTAGGAGGTGGGGATTTAAAATTGTACAAATGATGGGGCCGACCCCCCAGGGGGCTGTGGGGCTGGGCCAAAAGGGGGCAATTTGGCTATATTGCGACAAACGACTTCTTCTGTAGAACTATGCCATGGATATAAACCATATTTGACTGGAAGGATCCCTAGGTGGTGGGGAGTTAAAATTGTACAAATGATGGGGCCGACCCCCCAGGGGGCTGAGGGGCGGGGCCAAAAGAGGGCAATTTGGCTATATTGCATTAAGCGATTTCTCCTCTGGAAATAAGAAGTGGATGTCAACCATATTTGCCTGGAAGCATCCCTAGGAGGTGGGGATTTAAAATTGTACAAATGATGGGGCCGCCCCCCCAGGGGGCTGAGGGGCGGGGCCAAAAGGGGGCAATTTGGCTATATTGCGACAAACGACTTCTTCTGTAGAACTATGCCATGGATATCAACCATATTTGACTGGAAGCATCCCCTAGGTGTCAGGGATTCAAAATTGTACAAATAATGGAGCTGATCCCCAGGGGGCTGAGAGACTGGGCAAAAAGGGGTCAATTTTGCAAAATTGCTTTAAGCGACTTCTTTTCTGGCACGAAGAAGTGGATATCAACCATATTTGACTGGAAGCATCCCTAGGTGGTGGGGATTCAAAATAGTCCCTGGGCCATAACTTTAAAACTGTTGATATCCCCACCCCAAAACTATATATACAAATGCTGGGCATAAACCTGGACTTTTGGACCCACGTTCAAAACTCAATAAATAAAGCTAATTCAGTACTCAGGATTATTAGAAGATCTTTTACTTTTTTGGACGAATCAATTTTTAGACAGTTATTTAAGGCTCTGGTAAGACCGCATCTAGAATACGCAGCCAGTGCGTGGAGTCCGTATAAACTTAAAGATATCCAGATGATAGAGAATGTACAACGGAGAGCCACTAAGCTTCTACCTGGATTTAAAGAAATCTCCTACGAAGAACGTTTAGAAAAATTAAAACTACCGACACTAAAACACCGAAGGACTAGAGGTGATTTGATTAACGTTTTCAAGATTGTGAAGAGGAAGTTTGATGAGAAAGTCACGTCAGACATATTTGTCTACGATAATAACGAAAGAACACGAGGACATAAATTTAAGCTGTATAAATAAATGATGTAGTACAGAGCTAAGGAAAAACTCGTTCACGTTAAGGGTAGTTGATATCTGGAACGGTCTACCGGAATCGGTTGTAAATGCAGAAACCCTGAAGGACTTTGAGATCCTGTTGGATAACCATCTGAAGGACACTATTTACAATAATTACTGATAATGACTTTTAAAATAACTCTTTTGGGAAAGTTTATATAGATGTTAACCAGTGACAATATAATATTTTTATACTATGTTTTGTGATATGGACTTAGAGGCTTTCAGCCTGCGTCCATTATTTTTCAATTAAATTCAATTAAATAAAAAGACGAATGCAGTCATGATATCAGAATAGACCCTGGGGTCTGACCGAACCCCTATGGACCTAGTTTGTTAGTCACAGCTTGGAAACAGTTGAGAGCCCCACCCTATAACGGTATATACCATTGCTGAGTATAAAGATATGATTGCACATATGCTTCCAGGATGGCCTTGGGGACTGCCCCACCCTTGGAGACTTAACCCCTGGGTCATAACTTC